TGTAGTAGATGTTTTTAATAACGTATTTGAAATTTGAATAATATATGTAGGATAGGGTCTGAGGGAAGGTCGAATGAAAGCTCACGTCACACAGTTAATTTTCAATAATAGCGTAATATAATATAACAACGGAATAATTAGGGAGATAATTAGGAATAATTAGGAACGCGTCGAAACCGGTCTATTCATGACACGAATCGCTTTTTGTCTGTTCGTCAGAAATCTAGTTTTCGTTCTTTTCACCGTTTCTCTTACATTCTTTTGCATGCACGCACTCACCTATACTCGTTCGCACTCTCACATACGTTCATGTATGCTCTCTATATTCTCCCCTTTGCACATTCTCACATATTCGCATTTCCTCGCATATAACAAAATCTGTATATCTTAATGTTTAAAATGGCAACGTTAATATTAATTTAGAAGCATTAGTGTAATTTTTAGTTATTAAATAAAAAAATTTTAAGGTAATGCATGTAAAAGTGTCACAAATGAAACAAAAAATTATTTTTTATTTATTTGATCCTCCGCACATGAATGTCCACAGTTCACATATAATTTATATTAATAGTGTAAAAATATAATTTATACAATAGTTATTATCGTATGGTTATATGAACAATTATATTGAATCAAATGCTTGTATTAATTAAAATAGACATTGAAAACAGCAGAACATTTTTGACAACTCTTTGTTTTTATTATTTTGTTTCAACTATTTAATTTTAATCTATCGATTTAACTCAGTGGTGAAATATTTTCATAATAAAATTAAAAATTTTAAAAACCTCATAAGCAGTTAATTTTGTTATATTGTACTTACATCATACAAAATATTGTGAAGAATTGATGTACATAGAAAACCTATTTAAAAAAGAATCCACAAAGAATGGATTAAGAAAATAAATCTGGAATAAAAGAAATATTCTGTCTATTTAAATTGCACAGCATTCCTATGTTATTTGTTTAATGCAGACAAGATTACAACAATGAGCAGTTTAAAGAAGAGAAAATTACAAAGCATAATACAAACTTGTCTCCGTGAAAACACGAAAAAAACTGTCTTTGACAAACTCGTAGAAATGTTAAGCACGAGTGTACCAAAGTCTTTTTTAATAATGAGTACCCTTTGTGAAGTCTACCCTTTACACGAAAAAATTGATCCGTAAAAAGAAATCTACTGATAAATATTTGCGAGCATTTACAGCAATTTTAAATGAACTAATAATGTTTAAATTACACACTCTCTAGCAATTGAATTAGGACCGTGTACGAAAATTTCACTTTTATAGCTATAATTATGTCATATATGGAAAATTGTCTTAGGTTATGCGAATTATTACTAAATACGTTGATAACGATATATACATAGCAATTTGTTACTATCGTGATAATAAATTGTGTGGGTGATGAGCGATTAAGGGCTGTGCGAGCGTTTACGTTAGGCTCGAGTATCGATAGCGCGTCAGGTGAAATTTGAATGCCATAGAAAATGTCTGCCTACCCAAAAGACTAGTTTACAACTCTCCAACCACATTATCTGAGTTGAAAAGAATTACAGATATTTGGGAGAATAATGAAGATATAAAGCATATGATCAATGTATACAGAGCATGCAAGCTGTAACCAAAGCAAAGGAAATACAAAATATTAACATGTATTAATAATGTTATGTTAGTAGCTAATAAATATCATTACAATTTGGACAGGCCTTTTAATTTTACGAAGAACTTGAAAAATGCTGAAAATTTATAATAATCTTAATTCGAAGGACAGGTGCTGTAACTGAATCATCTGATTCCTGCTAATGATTATATGTATACATATAAAGGAAATTCTGATAAGTGGATAATTTAATAAATGGTACGATATTTAAATTTTATTATACTGTACGTAAAAATATTTGTCAATTCTTCAAACAGTTTTCAAACTACTTGTTTGAATGATTTCATATAAAATTTCTGTTGTACACTAGTGGTAGCGATTATAAAAGTATTAAATATAAAAATATGAAGATATCGGTAGCTTTAATATTGGGAAAGAAAAGAGCAACAGTTTGATTTGACAACCTTCTTTTATCGCATGATCAGGTCATAGATATCTTTTATGTAAAGCTGTGTTGACTTGGTCTTAAAGTATGCAGATGGTACATATTCGAGGGTACTTCGGTTATTGACACTCTACTACCGTACTATGTTAGCTATATCGTGGAGAAAATGTTAAGTTGTTGGCAAGATGTCAGAATAATTTACTAAATGTAATCTTCTACTTCGTTTACCGAAATATGGTCTGTGTTGAACCAATTTACACTATAAAACTCGCAAAGCTATCAAATGGCCGTTTTGCATGCTTCTTATTTTAAGTTACGAAATTTGTTAAGGTGGTTCTTTTGAAGAGCGGAATTTTACAAGTTTCAAAATTGCAAAATTTCAGTATTCTAACGCTTCAGAATTAAAAAATTCAAAAATCACAAAATTCCGTTTCTAAATCCCAAAATTCTAAAGTTAAAAATTTCTCAAATATCAAACTTGTCAAATTTTAGCGTTAAAATTCCAAAACCCAAAAGTTAAAAAAATTCCAAAATTCCAAAAACTAAAAATTCTAAAATCCTAATATTCCAAAATCCAAAATCCAAAATTCCAAAGTCCCAAAGTCCCAAAATCCCAAAGTTCCAAAATCCCCAAGTCCCAAAATCCCCAAGTCCCAAAATCCCCAAGTCCCAAAATCCCAAAGTCCCAAAATCCCAAAGTCCCAAAATCCCAAAGTCCTAAAATCCAAAAGTTCTAAAATTCCAAAATTCCATTTCAATAAAAACATTTCATTTCCCAAATTATATTTAAAACAATCTGTACATAAATTTTGCGGCATCAAAATCTGATACATAAGTTTCAAATCCGGCGCTAACAAGTAAACCACAATATTATACATGCAATCAGATTGTTACGTTTCCTTTCACCGACACACGAAACGACAAAACTTTGCGTAAGACTTGATACTTCAGCTACAGTATCAAACTTCTGTACATTAACTTGTTCCCTTTTGTATGTACAATACATATACATACCTAGATACGTACAGCGTAAACGTTGTTACGTTAAGATGGGATTACACGGCTATGCAATTTGCGCAAGTAGATTGTTACCTATGAACAGAAATTTGAAGTTAACGCCAGTCAGAAAGTTTATCTTAAAATCTGTTCTATAAGGAGATTTTCATAAACATGGTGCAAATAACTGAACGTCTGAACAGGTGTTTTCTATACAAATCTGTTTGTACACAAATCATGTGAATACCATTCTGGAAGTACCGGTGTACTTTAAAGTACCGATACAAAATTTGCAAATCTAATACTTGTCTTTTTAAGGACGTGCTGTTTTATTGTTTATGAACAGTATTTCGCAAGAAAGTTTAAAAATATATAAATGTGGGGTATTATTGACACTTGTAGAATTTTATTTATTTTAATGAATTTGGATAATTTGATAAATTTGATGAACTTTATGAACTTTTTGATGAATTCGATGAACTTTATGAACTTTATGAACTTTATGAACTTTATGAACTTTATGAACTTTATGAACTTTATGAACTTTATGAACTTTATGAACTTTATGAACTTTATGAACTTTATGAACTTTATGAACTTTATGAACTTTATGAACTTTATGAACTTTATGAACTTTATGAACTTTATGAACTTTACTTAATTTTATGAATTTTATGAATTTTATGAATTTTATGAATTTTATGAATTTTATGAATTTTATGAATTTTATGAATTTTATGAATTTTATGAATTTTATGAATTTTATGAATTTTATGAATTTTATGAATTTTATGAATTTTATGAATTTTATGAATTTTATGAATTTTATGAATTTTATGAATTTTATGAATTTTATGAATTTTATGAATTTTATGAATTTTATGAATTTTATGAATTTTATGAATTTTATGAATTTTATGAATTTTATGAATTTTATGAATTTTATGAATTTTATGAATTTTATGAATTTTATGAATTTTATGAATTTTATGAATTTTATGAATTTTATGAATTTTATGAATTTTATGAATTTAAGGAGTTTCAGATGTTTAGGGAAATTGAGAGACAAATTTTAAGAATTTCTAAAATTTAAGAAATTTCAAAATCGTTCAACTTAAATATTTGAAAATTTGAAAACATAAAAATTTGCAAATTTCAAAATCTAAGGAAGTTAGAATTTAAAAACTTGGAAATTTGAAATTTTGAGGCCTTGGATATTTAGGTTCATTAATATTTGAGATCAAGAATGTTCAGAAATACAAAAACTGGGGATTTTGAAGTGGTGGAAATTTAAAAACTTAAAATTTTGAAGTTTGAGAATTTAAATAAATAGGTATACAGGAAAAAAGAGTTTGGAAATTTAGGAATATGAAAATTTGAGAATTTAATGATTTGAAGATTTGAGGACTTGAATACGTGGGAATTTGATAATTTGGGAATTTGGGAATTTGAGAATTTCCAATTTTGAGAACTTCACAACTTAAGAACTTGACAATTCTGAACATTGAAAACTTGAGGACTTGTGATCCTAAAAATCTAAGAATTTAAAAATTTGAAAATTTAAAAATTAACATTCCTTCATAAACAATCAATACCTCTTCGACCAAAATTATCCAGCAAATTGAAAAAACCACGCAATCAAAACTGAATCCGCGAACGGGGTTATCTAAGCAAATTTTTGTAAGCAAATTTCTGATTTAACCACTTCAATCTGTACAAATTGCACGAGCGTGTAAACCAAGCTTTGGAGGGTGGAAACATCACAGAAAATCCACAATAGATTCAAGCTTCGATACACAAGTATTTAAATCAACTCTCGATTCGACGTGGCGATTCCGACCAATCGATAATTTCCAACAGTTACAAACAAATCCCAGGATTCCTGTCGTTTGTTCTCCCCAATGAAAACGATCGTAAAAGGGTGTCGACGCTGATCGTGGTTTGTGTATTGCAGCAATTCGTGTGGAGCGAATTCTCCGAGGAATACAGGCCAACCGAGCGCAGAGAGACTTTCTATCCGAGTGTGGTCCTCGCTGATCGATTATACGAGCTAAAAATCACGGATCTGCCGACGATCCCGTACTTTCCGGTCAGCTCGCACCTCGAATGGACGGACTTCCGTTATTACGGCTTACGAAGTGCGAACGCTTACGTGCTAGTATTCGATCTTAGCAACCAAGACACGTTCCAGGTACGTAAATACACATTGTTTTTTATTTTGCTCAAACTTTATCTTCATTTTCCTTTAGCTTTTATTGCGAAAGCTGATAGTATTTGATAAATATAAGACACAGTATACTGAGTATACTGAGGAAAGAGGCATAACTCACACTGCATGTGGACATTCACTCACCATGTGAATACAAATGAACAATAGTATTTAATGCAATTTAATGCAAAATTTAGTATAATTAAATGCACTTGTATTAAATATAAATATGAATGAAAAGTAATGTTCATTTCATACGACTATTCACTGAATGCAACAAATAAACGAACGATGAACAAAAAAGCGCCAATCGGTGCATACAGAAAGCTCCGAAGAGCACATCCCTTCATATACTGTAACCATTTTGAATGTTGAATATAAATGAATGTTTGATACTGAGTTTTCAATATTTCACTTACCTTTTCTTTAGACATACTGTTTTCCTTCTTTCTTTCGCTTATTATTAATGTATTTTATTATTCTTCTTTGTAAGCAACAAAAAGCTATTATTTTTATTCTATTTTATTTGTTGATACTTCTCCTTGAGCTCCTTATGTATTCTCAAGTGCTTTACTGTTTACATCCTTAATGCTACTTAATATTGCTTGTTCTGAAGATAATGAAATTATGTTTATAAAAGTTCCTTGTATGTCTTTTTTAGTAAATAACGTTATCATTTTTAATATAATTATTGCGGGAAACGATCTGATCATTCGGATATACCGTCTTTTATATTTGTTGAAAGAATATTGAAAATCTTCAATCTCTAAAGCACTATGAATGATCCATTTGATTATTACCTGTAAAATTTTGTACATTTTTAAATCACATCGTGTAATAATAGCCTGACATTTGTCACAAATGTGTTTCATTTTTGTACAATATTCCCATCAGAATTCTGTTTCAAGAAATACTGAGATGTTTCACAAAATCTGTGCAACTTCCTGAACTAACCTTCATGAATTCCTTTAAAATACTGTTTACAGGCTATAAGAAACATTTTCGAGATAAAAATTGCTTGGATTAAACTTCGTCTTATAGCACTATATTTTTTAAACTTTTTTTACACATTCTGATAATATTCGCTAAATACAAGCAAAATATAACGATTTTTAATGTAGGAATCCATTCGGTCAAAAGTTAAATGTAGTTCAAGTTTGGTAGTTTTGGAATGCTATACAATTTAATGTGATAGCTAAGTGAATTTTATTATTTGACAAAATACATATTGTGCTTAGATCGCGCCCATTAAATATACCATTAAATCAATATTATTTCGGCAACAAAATTGTCTCCATAAATATTCGCGCAGCCGAAGTGCAAATTCATTGTCGAGAAAACGACCTCTTCCCCTCATCCACTCTTTCGCAGGACGCCATGATCCATTTTATGAGAACGCGTACAGTCGCTAGCTAACATTTATGAAATTTCATTTAGTTTCATCGAAATTTGGCCGTAATCTAACGGAAGTTCAAAGTAAATTATACTTGCCTATCAACTCGGTACTGTGATTAACACTGTTATGTATATAGCCTTATGCATTCAGTCTTGTGTAACGTTTGAAACAGGCTATGTGAATTTCTCTACCAATATTAACGTGTTTGAAAATTTAGGAAATTAGAGTTTGGGAATCTGGAAAATTTAGCAATTACGCGAGCTGCAAGTTAGTAAATTTAAAAAATTTGAAAATACAAAAATTGAAAAATTTGAGAGTTTGAGATGCAGAAATTAAAAATGTTGAATTTAAACATTTGGAAAATTTAGAAACATGTGAATTTCGAAGTCGGAAAATTTGGAAACTTGAGAAATTGGAAATTACAAAATTCGAAAACTTGAGAAATTGGAAATTAGAAAATTTGGAAACTTGATAATTTGGAAATTAGAAGATGTTGAAACTTGAGAAATTGCAAATTAGAAAATTTAGAAACTTGAGAAATTGCAAATTAGAAAAATTAGAAACTTGAGAAATTACAAATTAGAAAATTTGGAGCCTTGAATATTTGGAAACCCAGAAACTTGAGAAATTTGAAATTTAAAAGCCTTTAAATCCAAAAATTGAAAAACTTTGAGAAGTGCAGAAATTTAGAAACTTCAGAATTTGTAGCTTTAAAAATACTAAAACTTGAAAATATATAAATTTGGGAATAAAAAAAATGTTCAAATCTATATATATATCCTTACATAAACAAAAGCTACATTGCACCTAAATCCACATGTTCTCTAAAGATATGATTAATCTATTAACATCTGTTCACAGAACAATTCAATAAATTTCGACAAACTCAGTAAAAGAAGTGGCTTGTTGAATTTCTTTTCTACTTCTTACAATTCTCTACTATGTACGTGGTGCAATAAGAATTCAATGCCGACTCTGTAGAAGTCCTCCTGTAAAAGCAGGACCCCTAACCTAATAAATGGAACTATAGAAATACGGAGGATGCCACAGGCATGCAATATAGTAATAGAGAACATAGAACTGACTATAAAAGCCAACGGATCTGGCTTCGAGATCCATTGTCCCAATATTTCCACGGATTCTATTATAGCATATATCATGATGACATTTATCAAAAATTTTATTGAATTAATTAAATTTCCGACGTTTGATTATCGGTGAACTTGACTCTGGAATCAATCAATTTAAATAACTCTGTACTTTATAGGGAATATTTCTATTCTTATACGAATGGATATAAAATAAATCTACATGAAAGAAAAATCCAGAAACATAGAATTTCAATGCGATTTCATTTTTGAGAAAATTTAATTTGAAAATTTTCATATATTTGATAAAAGATTGTTTACAGAAAATTACAATTTGAGTAAATTTTTTGTTAAATAATATATATTATAAATTGTGGAACGTTATTATCTATGTATTATTAAAATATGTTCATCTTCATGATTTAGAACAAAGAATAATTGTTATGTGTCAAAGTATCAAAGTTATGTGAATAATTTATGTAAGTTATGTGAATAATTTATGTAAGTTATGTGATTTTGTGATTTAAGTTGATGTCATATATTGGTAAATTGATACTTCCGACAAATAATCAATTTTAGTAGTACTAATTCATTTATCACACTTATTAATCATTAAATTAATGAAGTTACATCTGATATTTTTACGCTGTGTGTACATTTTTGTACAAACTCGAACAATTCCCAAATTTAATTTATTTAAAAATGTAGTCGGATATGAAAAAATGTTATTCCATACTTTTGATTTATTTTTTCATGTAGATTTACACGACTTTCTATTGTGCTACCGGATCAGAAATATCATATACAAATCCTAGTGTTTCACGCGCAAAAAAAGAACAAAAATACATGTAACAGATTAAAAAAGGAAATGTGAAAATAGTAACAATAGCCGAGTTTTTAACAATAATATTGATGTGAATAATTTTGTATCAAAGTAAAGTACAAATATGCAATAAAATATTAGTAGAATTGAATTCTTAACACTATAACTTATCAAATGAAGTTACATAAAATATTTCAGCAAATTTTCTATAAAAATTGCGAAAGAGAAAATTGAATATGTATTATAATATTTTTTCATACTCATTTGCATATTCAAATTTCATTTTTAAAAGCGTGGAATAAACGAGTTTACCTTCGACATTCCTTTTAAACCGGATTTTCCACCCCAATTGCTGTCAGACACCCTCATTCCATTACGAACTCATCTTTATGCTTAACAGAAAAGTGGAAACTTTCTTTATCCTTGCTTGTAATTATGGTCTCTTTTTGTACCCTTCATTGCATCATAGAAAACGTGTATAATGTACAAACTTAACACAACCGAAAATATAGTTTACTATTCTTTCTTTTCTTAATGGTTCATTTTAAACTTCTTGTTACAATGTACAAGCTTAAAAAAGAGGAAAAAGAATAAATGAATCATAATGTAATTAAAAAACTAAATAAATTTTATTTTGATTACATTATTAATAGTACCAATAATTTCCAATAATTAATAATTAATTATCAATAATTAATAATTGTACAAGTACATCTTTATTTAGAAGAAACAAGTACACAAAATTATATATCATTACATTTAGTTTGATGAAACTAAGAAAAAAAAAATGATAAATGCTTTACTATTCAGTACACGGTGTGTAAATTGTTTTAAAAAGCTACAACAAATAAAAAATGCAACATAATGTGTTCGATTATTTAATAGTGATTAATTTATTTACTTCAAATGAACTCTAAAAAATGAACAATTTAGTTGTTATGGTGAACAATTTACAAAAATTTAATTTCAAAGATACAGAAGTAACACATAGGTAAAATTACAATGAAATTGTAATTTGTTTATTAAATTTGTACGTATATGTTTGCTATATTTATTCTACTCATTCACTGCATATATTTTACACATCATTTGCATATTCACGCGTCATACTAGCATAAACTTCCAATGTACAGCACTTTACCTAAATGTTAAAAATTTATTATTTCAGTACAAATATTACAAAATATGAAATGCAGTTATAACGGTAAATTTCTACCTTCTGATTTAATGAAATCCCCCTGATTACGCTCGGTTAATTGAATACTAAAATCACGGTTCAGATATCACTGCTACTCGAATCTAAAGCACTCGCGAGCGACGTTCTAGGTTTAAAATATCATCAAATACAGAAAGTTTGTTCCAATCACCCTCCTATTCCGTATTTCACGAAAATTCGCTACGAAGTTTGATTATTTGGTCCACGAGACTCCAAACTTTTAACTGGAAAGGGTAGAAAGTAAATGTTATTCGTCGACAAGACTACTGAGATACTTAAAAGTAATCAAAATGCAGTAGTTATATGAAAGAGTAAAAGATTTATGTCAAATATAGTAGATAAAAAATATTTAAATCACGTTCTGCTATAATTCGTTTAATAACACACTGTTAATATTAATAATTTTTTGTAATTATATGTATATGTTATTATTTTCCTCTGATTTTATTATTAAGTTCTATGTTCTTTGTTAATTTTAATACTCTATATAAAAACACATACGTATATCATAACTTACCTTTTTAATACCTCTGTATTTGTTAATAGACGCTGTAGTATAACAATAATGACTAAAATAATAAATAAATCAGTTTTAATATCAATGTTAAAAACATTAGCCAATAGATCTTTTTATTTTTCACCATTCATTCATTGTTGGTTATTACAGGAACATGGTCGCTAATAAGTATATTTACTTCAATAAATCAACACTTTAACCGACATATTACATTCATCAAAAATCATACCGGATACTAACCTTATTTTCAACAAATATAATAGTTCTGACTTTTCTTTATTATGTCTAGTACATAATTCGTAAAATTATATTCAGTCAAGCACATAATTAGTAAAATTATATTCAGTCAAGTACATAATTAGTTACGACTATAACTAAAATCGTTATACGTGATACATTATAATACATGATGCAAATATGGCGGTAAAAGTGTTAATTCAGTCTTTGCATTTATTCAAATTCCTCTTACAGATATCCACATACACCCAAGTATGCACGTAGTTATCTACTTTAAAATATTACTATTCTCCACAGGTATTCGTTCTTCCATACAACTGATTATAAAAGAAAATTTTCGTTTCTGACATCGCAGTATATTAGAACGTTACGAGAGCAAATCTACGAAGCACGAGACATGAGGGGAGTACCACTGCTAGTAGTCGGGAACAAGCAAGACGAATTGTCACCCGCGGTTGCTTCCGGAACTCGATACAGGGACATCGTTAATCTCGTCCGGAAGCACTGGCGATGTGGCTACGTCGAATGTAGCGCCAGATTTAACTGCCGTGTCGTCCAGGTAGGTACAATATGAATGGTTTGTTACTAGCGCCACGTTAACCCTTTAACTGTACATATGTGCTTACACACATACTACATAGTCTACAAAAATGTACTTTGATCGTTATTTACCTAGATGTCTAGGTTATAAAGTGCGGAATTATTTCTGTATTTTTTTTGTAAGTGGTGTTAAGTTGCTTAATACAGAAACATGAGACCACACTTTATCTTCGTTACCGAGCTTTTAACAAACAGTGAAGTGTATAAAGTGATATTGATGAGACCATGTAAACTATAATGATGAAAAATAGATCTCATATATACAATTTATAGAAAAAGAAAAAGCGAGCTTTAGTAATAAACAAACTGGGTTTCATTCTAGGAACCCATTTTTTTACCTGTGTACTTGCATGACTTCTGTTTTTACTTGATTCTGACGGAACCAAATTTTTGTGATCATACTTTCTAGTAGGTTGCAAAATAACACATATGATATTATTAAATTTATATTTAAATCTAGTACATCTTACAATAGTATATATTTAAGTTAAAAGTATAGTATAATCTTAAATCTATTCATAAAAACAAATGCATATGCATTTAAAAAAAATAAGAAGGTATAAAAAAAATACTTGCTTAAATAAAATATCAAAATAATAAAACAAATAAGTATAGGTAAAATCACTTAAAATTTTCACAGTTAATAGCATATACATTATGCTCTGTCAGTTTGCTTCTACAATGCTATTGATACAACTGTTACACATCTGTTTTTATCAAGTATTTTCTCCCTTGAAAAATACATACTTTGTTATACTGAAAATTATTTGGTATTGTTACTAAATAATGTTTAATAATTAGTTTGCCTATATAATAGTCAATAAGGAAGTTAAATATTCTGAAACAAAATATATTTTTGATTAAAAAGAAACTCATTTCTTCATTTTAGTTTGCTGCGTAAGCATTAAATAGAATACAAGCAGTTAAATGTTTGTTCGCTGAAATAATATAATAAAAAATAAATAGAAAAAGAATGTTTAATTAATTAAACATTATTCACTTAATTAAACTATAAGAACAACAGGGCATTAAGAAAGAAATAGGGAAAGGAAATTCGCTTAAGTCAAGTAAGATAATAAGAAAAATCATGCTCTATTCAAACAAGTGCTGTTTACTTTGGTAGAAAATAATCTATTGATGTATATTTTGATATACTATACAATTGAATTTATGTACTACCTTACATACATACGAAAACAAAAAATAATTCTTTTTAATACTTCAAATTCATCTTAACTTAATTATAAGTTACATCTCTCAATCAATACTCGACAATCCATTCGTAACTTCTTATCTACAAGGTATTTCGAACGATATTTTTTATTTAAATTGTTTTCGTTAGAATCACTGTATTCAAAGTCCGGTTCATATATTAAATCATCGCTGTCTATACGAAATATTTTCTTCTTTGCAACGAAAGAACAGTTTTTTGCATTCATTGATGTACGGTGCGGAAATATCAGAGTTTCTTCCGAATTTAAATTATGTATTGATTTTCTTTGTGAATCCTCGTTATCCGTTTGATGCGGATATATCATAGTATCAAGTGAATGAATACGATATAATGAATTTGTTTGACTACCATTGTTACTTGCTGGAAGCTTTTCCTTGCCAGAACGTTTTGTACTGTCCTTATCCGAAAATATATTCTCACACGAACTAACAAGGCTTTGAGTATCAACCTCGCGATTATTTAATGTAATCTTATCTAGAACATCATTTTTCGCCTTCTTCCCATATTCATTTGTACATGAAGCGGTCCGATTATTGTGTTGTTTAGCTACCTTGTATGAAGAAAATAAATTCAGTGTACTACAAGTACTATCTACATCGCTACTAGCAGATTGTGAACTGTCATCGACTAAGTTAAATCTGTTTTTGGATACACTATGTGTCATTTTCACTGGTTGGCGAAATGAGAACGTCGACGTTTTCGGACTGACTTTTTGTTTACTGGTATCTTTTGTTGAACCTTCTATATTACCTCTATCATTACTCTTTGTTGTATTATTAGGAATTGATAATGCAGATTTACTATTTTGTAGTAAAATGTTATTTTCATTAGTTTGAACCGAAAGATGATTATTACTGTCTAATGCTGATTTTGTGTTACTTTTCTTATTATCTTTATGTAATACTAAGTCTTTATTGCTTGACTGAAGATTATTTATTGGACTCTTAGTTGCTTGTAATGTTTCTTCTACATAGCTATTCTCTGAGAATACTGATTCATTATTATTAGAGGAACTAGCATTCCATGAGTCGGGAGAATTATGTATTAAGCTTTGTACCTGTAAATGGTTATCATTAAGAAATTGTTTATCCTGTATGTTTGAAAGAGTACGCTTAGAATTATGCTTCATACTTGACTGAAAACAAAAATCCATTAACTTGTGTTGATGTTCAGTGAATTCTTCTTTTAATCTACTGATAATGCAAGTTAAGATAAATATTATATCTTTAGCATCTTCTAAAGTTACTGTCTCTTGCTTAAAATACCTCTGTTGTAGACGAGAGATCTGTGATATAAATCTAGAAAATTTGCATTTCATCTCTTCCATGATTTTTGTAACTTGAGGTTTAAAATTTGTAGAAGTATGTCTTTTCTGTTTTTCTATTACTCGGCTGTCTCCTATGGGAGTGCTAGCTATAATATTTAACTCCTCATCCCTTGATTCTTCACTTCTATTTTCTACAACTTGACTGCAATCTATAAATTCACTTTCGCTATCTTTGTTATTATTTTGTTTGTTATTACTTTGTTTGTTATTACTTTGTTTATTACTTTGTTTGTTATTATTTTGTTTATTATTATTTTGTTTGTTATTATTTTTTTTATTATTTTGTTCTTCGTTGTTTTGTTTGTCATTATTTTGTTCTTCGTTGTTTTGTTTGTCATTATTTTTTTTATTATTTTGTCCATCATTATTTTGTTTGTTAACACTGGATGATTCCAGACGTGTGTTTTTATTTTGAATTAAGGAATCGGTTGAATTCCGAGAACTTTCACTTATTTGAACAATATTAACATTATTCTTTTTCCTTCTTACTTGCTTTCCTGCAGTTACTTTACCATTATCTACAGAAGTAGTATCAGATTCACTTGAAGTTGACACAATTCTTGTCCTATACACTGCACCTCGCCTTATACTTCTATTGCAATTAAATGCATTCGAACGACGTGTTACAGGTATATTTTCTTGTGTAGAACTATCATTATCACAAAATGTTTGCAAGTTCTTTGTTACTTTTTTTGCTCTGGTTATACGTTCCTTTTTATATAATGGAATATCAGAATCTGAATCACTGGACTTTACTGTAAAATGCCTTCTTTTATATCTGAAACAATAGATGCCTCACATTTTCTGTCTAATTGGCAATATATGATATTGGATCTGTATAAAGATACAGATAGTAGTACCCCGCTTAGCACTCGAAATATATTTCCAGAAGACAAAGTGTTAAACGAAACAGCATTAGCACATTCAAAATTTTTCATGCTATTTAGTACATATATATGCAATGTAATAATTATAGTATACATGAATAAAACAGAAAACAGTCTGAACAGAAAGTTAATCGTAGGCATAAACATGGAAAGAAACATTTTAAATAAAATCATCATAACACATCATAAATAAAAATAAACAAATTAAGAATATAACAGTTTAACTTTTATACTGATTTGTGAACATTTATAATACATATATATTCAAAGAACAAATTTATTCGGCACAAGCCTCGTTATACCAAATCAGCAATAATTAAAATAATGTTAAACGGAGTCATACTGTAAATACCTAATTAATTAATTGAAAAAATTATATAAACGACAAATGTTCATACTTTTTATAAATATTTATGTAAACATTGAAAGAAAAACTTGACTATTCCAAAAGTTAAATTTTACAAGTCAAATGTAAATAAATTAAAAAAGTGGAAAATAAATTACACTCTTTTCGAATAAAAAAGGAATACAGTTTGAAATAACTTTGACTGAAATTGTAATCAATTGCACTTTAATACTTACCCGGAATTAAACGCCATAGTGAGGAAGAAATCGAATTGACTATAATTGTGGAAAACCAGCAACAATCACATAACAAAACCAACGTTTGATTATTGCACGAGATGAAACACAATTCGTAGCATAAACGATGAATGCCGGTTATTTTACGCAGTCAACTTTCATTGGGTCTTTGTGATTATAACCAATAGTGACGCGCAAACGCTGTAGCGATGTTTACAGCATCAAACGTGCATACTCGGTGATCTTTCATTTCTGCACATTTTTCAAATTACCAACTTTTCTAGCTTTTGGTATATTTTTTCCACTAGTACAGTAACGGTAAATGAAAATCATACATTACTTTTGTCGTTTTAATTTTGACTGAAAATTTAATGATATTAAATATAATAGTTTAACATACATTGCAGTATTGTTTATGCCACGTGTATTTCGCTTCAATATTGAAAACAAAATGACGCTGTTAGTGATAGTAGTAGTTTTTTTTGCGATCGTTTTCTATATTATATAAGTTATGATTTCGTTGTTGCGTATTATTTCAAGTTATTGGAAATGAATCTTAATGAATTTATTCACATCGTTCTTAGCGCAAATATTTTCTCTATACTATGGTTAGATTTTTAATTTTTAAAATAAGCTAAAAATATGAGTAAAGTTTGTCGCGATTTATTATTCCTTTCACTTTAAACGTTATTTTTACATATTTTAACATTTATAATCTAATAATAATTTGTATTATTCTGTTTAAAATCCGTGGATTAATTTTGTATCGAAAAGAGTTAAGTAGTACTGTACTTTTTACGATTCTTTATTATTTACATTCACTCATATGTCTTTCGCTTGGGAACTGGCGGTTTATTTGAATGTACTACATTAATATTGCAAATATTACAAAATAAAATTTTTAAAAAACCGATTCTTTTAAAAACTATGTACATTATACAAAAACAGTTTACAAATTCTCACTCAGATATTTAAATGGATATAAATAAGAAATTAAAATTTAACTTCGCCTCAAAAACCGTCTGTAGTGCTGTTTAGTGCTTTAGTACTGAAATTAATAAATTTTAAAAATAAAACTAGACGACACAAATAAATGTACCTATATATTTATCAAAAGTAACTCAATATAATTATACAGGAAACAAATTATAACCCATCCTTAATATCTAAAAAACTAGAAAATAATTTAAAAAATGAAAAGTTTGTAGATTAACTATAATTAGGAAAAAATATATATTTTATCTGTGATTTACAGGTGTTTCGAGAATTAATGAAGAACATTCAAGCAGTAGAAGGAAGGCCACCTTCACCGACGCCTGCGCCCTCTCAGCCCTTGCGATCTCATCCTCACGATACCAGCGAGAAATGTATTCTTCTCTGACACTGAAACCAGAAAATCAACGTGCTCAACTTCTGCGACCATATTATTAAGAAAAGCTGCTTCTTTCCTTATCACGATGCAGGGTCGTAGTCTGTTTAAGTCGAAGACGAAAGATAAACGATGAAAAGGCAGGGACGGATTAACTCTAGATAATCGTGAGATCCTTAATGTGAAAGCTCAACTACAACTGGGATTCTGGAACGGGGTTCCTAATCCAGGTGCTTGTTCCGTGGGCGCCGTGTAATCCCAAGTAGAAATCCACGAACCTTTTTGGTTCTGCAATCAATAATGTAAACAGTATTGTGATCGTTCGGGGTACTGAGATCTTTCATGAAATACTTGATTTCTTTATGTGCACAGAATAGCTATTATAAGTACAGAAACGTTTCATTAATGATTATAAAAATATTTTTTACGTTTACGTTTATTTACACGTTTTAGTATATTAACTGTAATTTACATTTAAATTATGAAAAGTATAGTGGAACAAAAATGTATTAGATATTTGTAGATATTTTTTGCTAGATATAATCATAGTAATTATGGAAAATTTGTCAAGTAGTGTTGCAAGGAAAATCGACTGTTACACTCTGTATTCAATGAAGTTTTATTTAATTATGGTACTTAAAGTGCTGATACTGAGTACTTGAAGTATTCATACGTTCTTGGTTATTAATAATCTCATCTGACAATCTTTAATATGTGTAACACGAAAATTCAATTTCTGTAATAGGAATGAGATAGTTTTGTTAAAAAGACAGATGAAAGAGAAAAAATTGTCAACTACAGATTTTACTAGGTTATTAAAGTTTATTCTACTTTTAGCAATGCTGATATTGCAGCTTATTTTAATTTTGTAGTTCTGTAAATTTTATATTTAACGTTCATTTAATTATTTTTATTTTATTCTTTCGTTAAGTTCTAATTTTTCTTTTATTTATATCTGCTGTTTAAATGCAATTACTAGCTAATGAAACATCATGTTATAATTATCAAATTTCTCAAATCTAACTTCCCATTTACAAACTTTCACATCCACTAATTCTAAATTTCTAAATTTGCAAACTCAAAAGTTTATATATTTGAGAAATAATAAATAACAAATCAGCAAGTGGTGAACCGTTTTTTCCTTTAAACCGCCATTTTTCCTAGGTATACCTATTATGTTAAACATATTATTTAAATATGTGGTAATGAAAAAGTTGACTTTTTTCGTTTTAACCAAGAAATAACGAAATATAACCCATCACAAAAATGATAAAGCATCGAATCAAGAAAAAGAATACATGATTTCATGAAAGATCTCTCAAAGCTCATACGTTATCAGTATTACGGTGATAATAACAAGGGGAATACCGAATGTATTTTGCGAATCGACTAACTTCGAATCTCGACTGTGAATATTTCCATCGAAATTGTTCATCGAGTAATTCGAACGTTAAACAATGATGCAATCATGCCGTACAACCGCAATTGCTCTTTCGTGTACGAGAATAACGAAAAAGCTTGCGACTAATAAGTGTAACTAAAATCGACTGCCGAATCCCTCTCTATCTACGTGAGATTTTATTTATTTTACTTTGTAATTCGCCTTTGTAAATACTTCTAAATACGGAACAATTTTAACACGGAACTCGAATATATAGTTTTGTCCGCGGACGTTCCGCTGCGAAGATTTTAACCTCACTTTTATGCACATTCTTATTCATTTTTCATTGATGTAACGCGTTTTATATAATCAATGTACAGACTTTCGTTATATTGCCACGAGTGAAGTTGTCACAACAGAAAATTTCTGAAATTGTATTCGACGTATTAGTAATGTTATAGTGATGTAAGTTGGAAAGGGTTTTATTCTTTAAAATTGTCCAATGGCGGAGGAAAGGTGAAAACTTGTAAAGTTTGCGATATAACGAGAGTCTAGTTCTAAAGCCTTACTTTCGTGAAAACAATGAAATCTGTACAAATGGATCAAGTTCCGCTGTGTTGTTCACGTTGCTTTATCTGTGATACTTTCTATTTATTTCGCGATGGTTTTATCTTCTAATACGATACACTTCGAGTATACGAAATTGTTAAGATTTTTCGTTCGTTCTCCAGCAATGCATTCGGCCTAATAATACTAGTAAATAATGATTAACGCTACTAATAATGAATAATGATAATAGCGAACAAATAAATGTAATAATAGGGTGTTATTGAGAGTTACCTCAGATCAAGCAATAGCGTATACAATATATTTTACTATACTGTTAAGGAATTAATCACTAGCGTGTAAGGTGTAGCTGTTGATATTGTGAAGTACTATACACGTAACATAAATATGCAGCTCTCTAAAAGTGTGTGTTACAGTTGTTATCGTTTGTACGTATTTTAAACGCAATATCGTCGGCCCAATAATTTCATCGACGACGTTCGACGATTGTTTGACGACCGTTCGAACGATATTTGTGTTGATTCGTTTGGAAGAGATTTAACCCTTTGGCTACTGAAGTTCAGTTTATTTTATATCGAATGATATCAAATTTCAAAATGTTCAAAATCAAATACAATTTTGTAACGTTGAAATATCGCAAAATTATATCAATTTATAATGTATATTCTTTTGTTATTTTAAAATTGATTTTTCCACGTAAGAGTAATATATATTACCGCAGAGATTTGTCACCTTTATGTGGAATAATGTTACTCGATTATAAAAAATTGTATTGATTACTTAAAAATATTTCTAGTAGAAACTATGTATTACGAAAGCAACATAATAACAATTATTGCGTGTATAAAATGGTCGTCAACGTGTTAACTAAAAGGTGGAAATAGGAAAAGACTATAAGTATCATTTTCTAAAACACTGCTTTTAGTTCATAATACAGGTATTTATACAAAGTCCAAAGTAAGAATAACTAAATGAAGATGTTGTTACAATTATTCATCATTTTTATGAGAAAAATGTTTGGATATCTTTAGTCAACAAGTAATAAACAAAAAATTTTCTTCAGAAATTTAGTTTTGTGTATTTACAGACTAATTTCTTTTCTCTCTTAAATTATTGAAGAAATTATATCAAATATTACTTATCTTATTGCAAAGATTACATTAGAAATATTGTTGAAGAAATTATATAAGATATAATAAATTAATAAAAAACAAAATATAATCCTAATTTATATCCGGAAATTGTCGAAGAAATTATATAAGATAGAATGAATCATTAAAAAATGATGTCCTAAATCAGATTTTTTATGAAAGTGGTCAAAGGGTTAACGCTAATGATTGATCGTTGATTTCTGGATCACCTTGTTGTCCTCTACACGCGTAGATTACGCAAAAGAAATACGTAAATGTTGAATACATCGTAAAATAGCGCGACTATTGTACATTACGCGACATGAAAACCATGTGTTCGTTGAAAATCTTTGTACCGAAGTAGAGAATTTAGATGAAAAATCGACGCGATTTGTACAGCCATCGAGTGTGTGTCGAGAAAGCGTCGTTTTACATACAAAATACTGCTCACTATTTTGTATGCAGGAATAACGCAATAAAAAAGAATGTAAAGAATAGATTGAGTCTTCAATATTTCACTTATCTTTTCTTTTTGCTTACTGTTTTCTTTTTATTGCTTATTATTAATGTATTTTATTATTTTTCTTTGTAAGTAACAAAGAGCTATGTTTTTTATTCTATTTTATTTATTGATACTTCTCCTTGAACTCCTTATGAATTCTCAAGTGCTTTATTTTTTACAGCCTTCATGCTACTTAATATTGCTTGTTCTGAAGATAATGAAATTATGTTTATAAAAGTTCCCTGTGTGCCCTTTTTAGTAAATAACGTTAACATTTTTAATATAATTCTTGCGGAAAACGATCTGATCATTCGGATATACCGTCTTTTACATTTGTTAAAAGAATATTCAAAATCTTCAATCTCTGAAACACTATGAATGATCCACGTTTGATTATTACCTGCAAAATTTTGTACATTTTTAAATCACATCGTGTAATAATAGCCTGACATTTGTCACAAATGTGTTTCATTTTTGTACAATGTTTCCATCATAATTCTGATTCAAGAAACACTGAGATATTTCACAAAATCTGTGCAACTTCCTGAACTAATCTTCATGAATTCCTTTAAAATACTGTTTACAGGCTATAAGAAACATTTTCGAGATAAAAATTGCTTGGGTTAAACTTCGTCCTGGAGCACCATATTTTTTAACATTTTTTACACATTCTGATAATATTCGCTAAATACAAGCAAAATATAACGATTTTTAATGTAGGAATCCATTTTGGAATGCTATACAATTTAATGTGATAGCTAAGTGAATTTTATTATTTGACAAAATACATATTGTGCTTAGATCGCGCCCATTAAATATACCATTAAATCGATATTATTTCGGCAACAAAATTGTCTCTGTAAATATTCGCGCAGTCGAATTGCAAATTCATTGCCGAGAAAACGACCTCTTCCCCTCAACCACTCTTTTGCAGAACGCCATGATCCATTTTATGAGTACGCGTACAGTCACTAGCTAACAATTATGAAATTTCATTTAGTTTCATCGAAATTTGGCCGTAATCTAACGGAAGTTCAAAGTAAATTATATTTGCCTATCAACTCGGTACTGTGATTAACACTGTTATGTATATAGCCTTATGCATTCAGTCTTGTGTAACGTTTGAAACAGGCTATGTGAATTTCTCTACCAATATTAATATAGTATTTTATCTATAATTATCAAATACTATTTATGTAAAAGAAGTTAGAAAGAATGGTGCCCCAAAACATAGTTTAACTTTTGACAACATAAAGGCTTTCTATTTCTTCATATTTTTTTAATTATCGAAAAAATTCTGATAAAAGAGGTATAGCATAATATAGCAAAAACTCTAGAGCTCCCTAACATGAATTATTCTAACTGCTATTTGCAACTTATGGGTTTTTCAGATTAATGGAACGAAAAACTATAAGAAAATTCGGAAATTTTGTTCAGGAAAAAACAGACTGATACAAAGAGCGCGATGGACGATTTTCAAGTGTGAACCTGAATAAGAGAATGGAGCACAAATATTTTATTTTGTCATTAGAAAATTCTAAAGAATATATTCTTTATTTTACATATTTTGCATAATGCATACGCTTTGCATACTACATATTTCGTGCATATTGCATATTTTTTGTATGCTTCATATGTTTTGCATAATGCATGAATATTTCATGCATATTTCATGCATATTCCGCTGGCTGGCCACCGCGTTCAGAATCAGGCCATAAAACAAATGACGAAAGCTTCAAAAGTGAAACAAAGACGAAACGATAGCCGAACAAAGTCAACAATAACACTGGTTTCGTTTCATACCAGTGAAAATTTCCACAGTTCAGTTAGAACAGAA